TCTTCTTATTTTAATGGGGAATACAACTGCCACTTATAAAGCCGAATCATCTTTATTCTTTTCTTTAAGGTGTCCAAATGTTCTGAAGAGATCAAGAATTACATTGAAGAAAGATCTGGCGAAGATCCTTTGGTTAAGGGTATTCCTGAAGATAAGAATCCCTTTAAGGAGAAAGGAGGCTGTGTCATTGCATAAAATCCCTCCTGCAACTGGAACATGCAGTATTATCCCTTAGTGAATGACTAGCTGTCCTCGGTTCCATCGGTCCTTGGATTTTTCTAAGAAAAAAAAAAAGAAAAAACACGTATAGAAGGAGGCTCTTGTTACTCATTCTATAGGACACAGCTGTATCTCACTACTTGATATGGCTTTGTCTGCTGAAGATCTTCTCTTGGAGGGGCCGGATCCTGAACGTTGTTCTAAAGGACATTCCCTTCTAGTGTCTGCTTAGCATGACAGGTCTCGGCCGTTGTGTATACTGAGTAGTTTCAATAAAAACAACTTCTGCCTGGAAAGCCAAGCTTTTAACTTATTCCATACACACGCAGACACACAAACACACATGCACTGTGTTACCAGGTTACATGAACATGTACATGCAATGCGTTATCAGATTACACATGATGTGTGATCAGGTTACATACATGATGTGTGATGTACACACATGATGTATGATTAGGTTACATGCGCACACACAACATGTGATATTGCATACACCATACACACACACTATGAGTGATCAGGTCACACACACACACACACACACACACACATGATGCATGATCAGATGACACATGCACAGAAGATGCGTGATTAGGTTACACACATGATCAGATTACACACATACACACACGTGTGATCTGGTTGTGTGCACACAATGTGTGATGTTACACACACCATACCTGCACTGTGTGTGATCAGGTTGCACACACAAACACATGATGCATGATCAGATTCCACACACGCACACACGTGTGATCAGATTCCAGACACACACACAATGCTTAATGTTACCATACTCACAGTATGTGATCACGTTACACACATAAACACACCATGCATGATCAGATTACACACACGCACAATGCGTGATCAGGTGGTGCACTCACACACAATGCGTGATGTTACACACACCATACACACACACAATGCGTGCTCAGGTCACGCATACACACACCATGTGTGCTCAGGTCACACACACACACGGACGGGCACACAGGCGCGCACGACACGTGCTCAAGTCAGCGCCCGCCCGCAGGGGGAGGCGGTGCCGCTTTCCCGCCCCCACACGTGGGCCGAGCCGGGTCGGGCCTGGCGCCAGCGCGGGGCAGCGGCTGGGTTGATCCCG